GGTCCCGATGAATAGGAGTGTAAGAAGCCCAATGTAAATATCACCCCCTACACATTCATGTACGCAGGGCTAGTATTTTATCACTTCACACAATGTTTGAGAATATGTTCTCCAATGGAGTATGATTAGACACTCAGTTGTACTCGTTTAACAATAGTAAGATGATGTAATTATGATTTCCGGAACCTCCAGTATAAATATGTTCTAGGCCCCACACTACTTGGCAACAATCCTTATACGGTAGTCATAGTCAATCAATAAAAACAGTCGAAAATCAGTCAATAGTAGCAGCCGGGAATAAGTCAATAGTAGCAGCCGGGAATAAGTCAATAGTAGCAGTGGAGAATCAGTCAATAGTAGCAGTCGAGAACCAGTCAATAGTAGCAGTCGAGAATCAGTCAATAGTAGCAGTCGAGAATCAGTCAATAGTAGCAGTCGAGAATCAGTCAATAGTAGCAGTCGAGAATCAGTCAATAGTAGCAGTCGAGAATCAGTCAATAGTAGCAGTCGAGAATCAGTCAATAGTAGCAGTCGAGAATCAGTCAGAACTGAGAGACAGGGCTATAGCGTAGTTCAAGTGACAGTGATAGATGTGTTGTTAGTAGAAAATTTTTCAATTAGACAGAGGTCACAGGTAATGTTATTGGATTGTCCGGACGAAGCCTGGCGTATTACCTGATATTAGATTACCACTGTGCTAGTAAATGAATATAAGATTACGTGAGTCAGTCTTTTAATACATACAAGCTATGAATAACTATTTTATCAGTATCGGAAATCTGAGAAATGTTTGAGATTGATGGGGACTTTGATCGCAGACATTATGGTGGTACAAGTCTAAATATGTGGTGCAGTCATACTGAGTGACCAGACCAAACATTATCAGGATAAACAGACTTTTATACTGCTTCAAGACATTATTTATTTAATAATTTATTTTATTTTATTTTTGATTGCAGTTTCTCAAAAGTTTTGGTAATCGCGAAAGTTAAAATAAAACAAAGTAAGATCTACGTAAATAATAATAACAACAAGAATTGCAAATGATAAATAATATGGAAATAACATATTTGAACGATTTCAATCAGATTGTGTGTTTTAATAATGTGACAGGGCATGTTAATGGGTTTATTCAGAGCAGGTGCGTGGAGAAAGAATTCGGACAAAAAAAGAAAACAGAAAGAGTAGAGCACAGAATATATAAAGAAGAAAAGCATGAAAAAGGAAATATTAAAAAGTATGAAAGGAAAGAGCAGGGAAGAAGAATAGTTGTGTAAAGAAAAAACAGGAAAGAGAGAAAATAATAATGGCAAAAATAAAGACATAATAATAATTATAAATTACAAATAACAAAAATATTTATTAAAAATAAGTTAGACAACCAGTTTATCCCCGGAATTAAAAATACGACTATCACCCACTAGGTGTCTGGGACCACCAGGGATTATGGGTAATACACCAAACATGATGCGCTGGAGCCCGGGGAGGTGGGCGGATAGTTCAAGCAATTTAAATGACCAATGAGCAAGAGGGCTAGCTGTAGAATATCTTCTAGTTGATGACGTCACACCAGTTACTACCACAATTTGATAAGTCAGATAGTTGTCTAATATAAAGCAGACTAAGTGGGTTCGAGTTTGAATCTAAGAAGTGAAACCACATTCACCATAAGCCCAATCCAAAATACAGTCTGAATTCAATGTCAACATTTAATACACCATAGTGAAGTAATACTAAACTGTGTAGGCATGATGAATCTTATTCTACAGAAATGCCTACCCACTGAGTGCATCATTGGAATTTAAAGAAGCACATATAACTCTAATTGCAAAATTCAACCTTTCCAAGGTACGAAGGGTGATCAATAAGTTCTCGGGCTTACTCATAAAAGGTTACAGAAGGAAGATTTTTCTTACACTATTTTTCAAGATAATCCCCCTTTAAGTTCTAGTTTTTCTATTACCTGCTGGAAGAAGGTTTCATCTTGATTATTTAAATATGCCAGCTTGGATGACGTCATTATCAGTCTCAAAACTGTGACCATGCAAGTGCAACTTCAATTTAGAAGTCAGGTAGAAGTCCGACGGTGCCAGGTCAGATGTGTAGGAAGGGTGAGGTAAGAGTTCAAAGCCACATTCGGTTGCTTCTGCCACTGTCACCCGTGCTGTGTGGACAGGTACATTGTCCTGGAGCAACAGCATACCAGCTCGAAGCTTCCCTCTCTTTTTCTCTTTGATTGCTGCTCTTGACTGTCGCAGTCCTGAAGCATAGTACTCTCCATTGATTGTTTGACCCTTTTGCAAGTAGTCAATCATGATGACTCACTGGCTGTCCCAGAACTGATGCCATTCGCTTGAACTTCTTGGGCGGCTGTGAACCTTTGTGTGTCCAGTGTTTGCTATGCTTTTTTGATTCTGGATCAAAGTGGTGAGCCCATGTTTGATCTCGGGTCACAAATCAAGAAGTTGCCAGGATTTGACTGGAAATAGGCCAAAAGCGTTCTTGAAACTTCAAAATTGTTCAACTTCTGATGTGGAGTCAACATTCGGGGCACCCACCTTGCATACAGCTTGTCCAGTCATTGTATGCATGAGGTTGTCACCCTCTGCCCTGGAATGATAGGACCCAGTGATAAATGGCGTTGTCAGGAGAGAGGTAGTGTTCAGTTCCCATTGTGTCAGAGTGCACATACTGGTCAAGGGGGTTCACTTCTCCCTTGTTCCACTGGGAGCCAGATGCAGCCATGGGATTAAAATCGGAAGGTTGGTTCATCAGGTCTTTGGTTCTCCACCAAAGAGGTGATTAGTCCATAACAAGACTGAGTCAGCCTGAAAGCTCACAAAAGTATTAGTGAAGAATAGAGCTTGTAAGAAAGACCAGTGTATTAATGATGTCTTCCTCAGTAAGGATCCTACCCTAACTGGTGTTGATTGCCGACTTGATGTTTCCCAATGTTCTCTTTATCTGTATTAGCCACATGATAAAGAAAGTTAGCTGGGGCATAATCGGATAAAAGAATATGTGTTGTGTTGTAAACATCAAAAAACAGCAGTACCACCAGAGACTATGGTATAACTGGGTTGTGTTGTATTGGAAGGATTTGAGCATAATGTAGAGCTGTAAGTTGATTTTTTGCTATGCTGATGCAGGCATTTGCTACAGAAAAACTATTATGAGTTCTATCTTGTCAAGTAGCTCCCTGGACTGTTAGTATTAGTAAAGACCAGAGGAGGGGTGTGACATTTGTATGTTGTTTGATAGAACAAACTAGCGTTGCTAGTATCAGTGGAAACTGGCGAATGTATACGTATCAATGTTTTCCCAGCTGGTGGTAAACATTGATACTGTTCAGGAGTTGTGATCTTGTGTCCTCTCTCTTTGCAATATTCTCGTACTTCGCTAGTACCTGTCTGCCTTTGATGTGGGAGTAAAAAGGTTGAGAGGATTAACTGAACGCCTTCAACTCGTTTGAGCTGATAGATCTGGCTAACTGAGTGGTGTTCTGAAGACCCTGGGTTTGGAGAGATCGATCATGTGTGCCCCTAAGTCGGTGGTATCTGGCGAAATTGAAACTGTCAGTAAGGGCACACCGGGCTTCTTGGAGTGGCTGCATGCGAGTACAAACATAATGTCCATTAGAAAACATATTGTTCTGGTGTGCAACATGGCGTTGGGGGGGGCATAACATTGTGTATTTTGATGTATTGCCTGATAGCTTGTGCATTAACCATCTTGAATGACTTTAAGTTGAACAAAATGTTCAAGGGTGAAAAATTACTACATATAGTCTCTGCTCGAAACTTGAAACTAGGTTCATGTAGAAACCAAGATCGGTTACTGAGTAGAAAATATGACCCTTGACTAGTAGGGACCTGGCCCATTGGCAGCTTCTCCACATGGAAGAGGTGGTGAGCAAAGGGGTATATGACAGACTTTCTCTACTACTAAAAGTGTGAATAGGTCTGTCATTGCCTGTGGGGAACTCTGTGCCAAACTGTACGGAACCAAAGCCAAGGGCGAAGTACCCCAGTATGGATTTGATGCAGACCCATGTCGATATTGAGAACACAAGGGGTAGCGTGTATACAAAAAGGTTTTGCAACACAATGTTTATTAACACAATTGTGGGACCCACTAGACACCCATCAGGTGTGCTTTCCATGCCCCTTCATTACCAGCGTGTTTGGACTGGGGAGTAGATACATGCGACTTATTACAAGCCTTATCTTCTGTGTGGTTACCCTTAGCTTTAGAGACTTCCCTTCCTCTTGGTAGATTTGGTATCAGTAATCTGTGTGGCATGTGCCACTTGTCTCAGTGTGTTTTCCGTTATATGTATAGTGTTTCTACCACTTTTGAAATTTACCAATCAAATAATTTTGTTCCATCTTTGACAATGCCAAGTAGGCTAAGATGTCAAGTGATCGATGTGGTGAAAAATCACAACTCTGGGCCATACCAAAAACTGTCGCAGATGCGTAAGCAATGTAAGGTGAACCATTACCAGTTGGTCTAAATCAGCCAATAGCATACCAAAATAAGCAAATCAGGTAGACAAATTTTGCAATGTGAAATGTTGAATATCCTAAAGGGTTCATTGGTACATAAAATGTGATTGTGACGTCAAACTATATCTGGCAAGATGTAAGTTGGGACATCTGGCAACTCCATCTTTCCATACACATGAACATTTCATAATCCACGGGAGAGGACAGTGGTACAACTAAAGATGTCCTTGAGACAGTGTGGATCTCATTTAAGGGAACAAATGATCAACATATTTGTATACTTCAGAGGGACACAAGATGGCAGGTGTATTGACAATAAACAAAGATGACCAGAAGTCGATGCGGTGCTGTCACATTCATATTATCTGACATATAGTGTAGTGCAGACATCCCTGGGAAGCCAATGTGTGGAAAAATATGTGCTGATTATCCCAATTGTCTGAGTCAACTTTCAAACATGTAACACACAGACCCAATATTTAACTTTCTAAAACATGTTGAGTTGCAGCTGCAGTATCCATCAAATGAATGGCCCATACTAAGGTACTCAACTCAAAGTAAATTCGCCATTGGCAGTTTGTCCTGGGTCAGACAGATTTTGGCAAACTGGAATGTCTGTTCCAGGCATCATAGAAATAACCACTTTTACCATCCATAAACTGACTGCAACCAATTTATCCAGAATCATCATTTCTAAGATGTTGCTCGGAAGTATAGCCTCAAATGCTGTAGCCGGAAGTGAAGCGATGTGTTGGTCCAAGACCACCTTCATTGCTTTGATGTATGGGCCTTCATAACAAGCACAGGGACCACTGCAGCAATGGGAGTAGACTGCTTTGATTTAGCTGGTAACTCATAGTGCGGTGAAGAAGGGCCCCCGGAGCCTGAACAACTCAGTCATTTTCATTAAAAGAAAATCAGGACAGGAGAAACCACTAGTGTGATACCTACACTTAAATAAGGCACCTTTATTGTAATAATTTGCCACAATGTTGTTGGCGGCGTCTCGTGGTAATCAATAAATAAGAATCAAAATCAGATAATAACCAAAGTCGCTTTGCTGGTGAATAATCAGGTGATGAATGTACTTTCCGACATGCAGCAAGATGAGCATGATGATGGGCGAGTTTTTCTCAGTTGATACTCCCAAGATGGGGATTGTCATCTAGCTTCCATGTGTCTGAGTCCCAAAAACAAAAATGAGAGAATAACCACGCACACAAATGCCACAAAGAATGTAAGTCGTTATTACACAGGTTTCATTGGCAGTCTGAGCATTGATGTGGTAACTTTGGTGATTATGCAGGCTGGAAATTCCAAAATTCCATTATCTCTCACTGTACCAGGTGTGTCAGCATTGACAACTGACCAAAGTAAACAAGTAAGTGGTATATTGTACTCCCATGCATCACTGAGCAGTGGAAGGCTGATCGATCCAAAATTTGGTGAGTATAGAACACAAAGCAAGCCAGATGCATGAGAAAGGTATGGATCATGATCCTATGCAAATGAATGTCACTATGTGCACTTTGACAAGCTTGGAGTCTCAGAAATGCATATACTCAGATCAGAAGTAATTAGACACGACTAGCATGGCTTGACCACTTTGCAACTAAAAAAACGATACTAATATTGACACTGTTCAATGCTACTCCTATGAATTATGCTGATGAAATGCAAGCAATAATGTCAAGGATCAAATCAGTATATGCAACAAAGGTGGAGTAACAGTGTACATGCAAGTTAGCTCATTTGGAAGTGCCCTAATCGAGTCGTCCTTAGCAATGCTCCTCACCAAACTGATAGATAATACTTTAAATGGTGTTAAATATAGACTTGGTGATCCACATTATGAATGAGGCCTCTTTATCAGTATCCACTTTAGAGAAAAATCTACTAAATGAAGCATAGCAGGACAAAAAATGAGAATGAATTTGTAAGCACAAAGTGTAGAAATACTGCCAGTAGCTATGGTACAATTGGACGGTGCTGCCTTGAAATGAACTGGTCCATATGAAATGCCCTACAACAGCCTGGGCATGAGAACAGCCTGTAAGTGTAAAGATGGAGCAGATCTGGTGTCACAGACATGCATCCTCAGAGAAATGTCATCTATGAGCAATGACTATATACGGGGTGTCCAAATCATGCTGTCAGTGTCATTGAGATGTTGATTGATTCGAATAACTTCTGAGTGTGCAAGTATCAATAAAAAAGAAGGAATGGGATAGTCATGTCCCCCTGCCAGAGCTAACTTTAATTAATGCAAGACAGAAACACTAGCCTTCAGTGGTGTACTGGCAAATAGATCGATGAATGGTTATAATGGCAAGAGATCAGACAGCACTGTAGTGTTCTTGCAGTAAGATCTGCCACTGCACTAATGAACTCAGTCAGTCAGAAACAGAGAGTCTGAAGTGCTGTGGATTCTCCTGATGTGCCTCCTCTTTAGGTTGATCTGTGTAAGCAGTGATTGCAGTGAAAATACAGTGATTCTGTGTTTCCATTTTTGTTGTGGGATGCCTTTATAGTACTGTGGCACCTTAGCATAACCCCTCTGTCTTATATGACTTACAGTAAGATTACTCGCAATGTCCCAGAAATGGGCACAGCAATAACAAACCATTCAGTTACTGTGCCCTTCTAAAAAAGCAACAATGGGAGACAAGAATTACGGGCACTCAGGTGTTGACTTGTAGGGTTGCCTGCATTTCTGTTTGAGATACAAATGATTTGCTAATCAATGGACAGTTACGAAATCTGGGGATGAAAATGTTCACCAATCATTCAAAAGTCTACAAAATGAAAACAAACTAACAGACTAAATCATTCCAGGCATGTCAAAAAAAATGACGCCAAAAGCAATAGACCAAACCAAAAAACGAAGTCAAACTACACTCCACCAGGATAAAAACAGCATTTGAATTGAATATAGTTTGTTTTATTGTAAAATTAATTCCAGTATATGTACAAAAGTAAAAAAATTACATTCTAATTTTTAATAATTCGTAAATGATAGAAATATACATTCATTGCAAAACTCTTCACGTTTGTCTGTGATTCGTCAAAACATCTAATTACATATGTACCTTTTGGAAGACATCTAAAATATACAAAATAAGAATTTTCCAATTATAAAAATGTTTTCCTTAAGAACCTTTCTGTTTCAATTAAAAAACATGTAAGTTGTAACTTTGCTATAAAATGTCAAGTATGCTGATGAATTACTGAAACTATAATTGGAGGGCATTATGGATAGTTATATAGGCATCAAGTCTGGGAAATAACACTGAAATAATTACCCAAATATGATAAATTACATAATTTGAACCATCAATCACAGAGTATATGAACAATGCATTCTGGGATATAAAATAAAACAATTAAAATCATGGAAATCCTTTATAATGGATTCATGGAAGTCACCATAAACCCTAATCTAAGCAACATTAATCCGATTACAAATAATTAATAAAAAGTAAATACTACCAGCAAAATAGGTAATTAATGGTTTTTAAATGTTCAAGCACAAGATAAGGCTGACTAACATAACATTTCCTTCCATCCACAGAGATTTAAAGCAATAAAATCTTTATAACACAGAATCTTAATTATACCATATGAGAATATGTCTTGGTTTTTCTTCATATATGTCTTATTATTGTACAACCAGAAATAGTGCAAGATTAATTATTATGTACAAAACATATGGAAAGTGTCAACTCATTATACTGTGAAATGTACTGTGAAATATATGAATGGCTTAATTTTGTATAGAAAATGTACAGGATAGAATTATTTCTTTAAAAGGTGGTTTCTATCGTAGTATGTATACATCAGAAAGTAAAGATTCATCAAAGTAACAATATATATTGGTTTTGAATTGTACATTGAGGTAAAAGGAGATAAAATTCAGTTAAGTTTTCATTTCAGTCATGGAACTATCCTGGAAGAATTCTACCCAGAAAAATGTAGACAGTGGATGGAAGATAATGGAAATTATTCTGGGTTTTGGACGGGAGAGTAAACTATTCCAGACTTTGGACGGGGAAGTGAGGACTTTGGAACTAACCTGCGCTTTGGATGGATACAAATCAGCCCAGAGAAGTGAAAGACTTGTTATAAAAATCTAGGTCTGACATTTAAAAATCATGGATGAATGGATGGATAGACGAAAGGAGAAATAAAATACAAACACTGTAAAATAGGACCAGCCTAAAAAATATTAAAATAAAAATATCTAAATTATTGCAAGCTTATAACATCTGAGAAAATATTCTACTGTAAATGTCCTTTGGAATGTGACTGTTGTCGTATATATATTATCAAATTTTAGTAAATAACGATAAATTCGTTTTTCATTACTTGGCTGTCTGCCATTCTTGTTCTTTTTTAACAATATCTCTCTCGATTTGAGCAATCTTTTTCATGAGATTGTCTTTCTTCATTGCCAATATATTTATTTGAGATTTGAGGCTGTCAGTTTTCTTGGTTGAGTCAGCTTGTTGTATCCCCTGATTGACTGACTGCATGTCTCCTAGAACACTTGATACTTGACTGTTGAGACTGTCCAGCTGAGATTCCATTTGATTCATCTGCATCTCTAGTAAATCTTTGTGACTTTTCAGGCCACTGCTGGATGGCTTGAGAGTTGGTCTGAAAAAACAAATAGTTGATACGACTAGTAAGCATTTGCAAGCAATAACCGAGTTCCTTAGACAGAATGTGCAGAAAAATACTGAAGATATTAAATTGTATTAGTATGAATGGAACATATGATAGCTATACATGGTTGCCATAAGTGTTACATGGTTACTCATGATAGAACAAGATTGACACATGGTCATCACATGATAAAATACTAGTACATGGTTGGTGCATGATACAACAAGATTGACACATGGTCATCACATGATAAAATACTAGTACATGGTTGGTGCATGA